AGATTGATATTGCAGCAATTTCAAAATTCTCTTTGTAATTCAGATTATCCTAAGCAGAGTCTCTGTAAAATCTAGAAGTTTTTGTTTATGTTCAGGAAGGTGAAAAGAGGATAAGGCAACATCGGAGGTTCACGCTTGATATTAGGAAGCATTTCTTTACCGAGATGGTAATCAAACACTGGAAAGGGCTTCCTAGAGAGGTGTTCAAGCCTGTCAGTGTTCAAGAGGTATTAGGACAGTGCCCTTAATAACAGGCTTTAATTGTTGATCTAGCCCTGAAGTGGTCAGGCAGTTGAACTAGATGATAGTTGTAGGTCCCCTTCAATTGAAATAATCAAATTATCTGCATTATTATGGTGCATACTTGATACTTCAGAATTAGGTAAGAAAAACATTGCTGAAAAGTTTCTGATTCCTGTTCTAATTATCCAATTAGAAATCTTGGGGTGTTGAAGGCAATGTTTTGTAACATCTAATTTTTTATCATCATTTCCCTCCCTCCCTCCCTGTTAGTAATTAAAATTTCCGGAGGGGGAAAAGAAAAAAAAAAGAGAGAAAAAAATTGAAATTTAGAATTCACTACAGAAATACTACCCAGTTTTAGGTTTTTATAGTAAAACACAAGGGCCTTTTTAGGCTGTTGCACAAAAATTTTCACTACTTCAGAAAGTATGTGATTTTAAGAACCTTTAGATCTCTTCTTCTATCAGTGAATAGCTTTCCACTCACATGAGGTAAAAAATATCAGACTATTGGGGCGGTGCTGTTAAAGGCAGCCTTAGTGTAATCGTCTGAGACTATTTCCGTCATTTTTGGAGAAGATTGTGCAGGTTAAAACCAAAAAGTCACAAACATGCTAAGACTTTTCTGGTTGAACTTTTGAGGCTACTGAAAGTGTAAGAAGTGTGAGTTAATACCTCATACTCCACCAGGAAGGGACTTTTAATGTGTGGTTTAGGATGTTTAGTTATGGTATCTTCTTAATAAGGACACATCTATTTATGTCATTTTTCAGGTATGATAAAGCTCATTCTACTATATAGCATGTTTCATCCTGAATTCTTCCTAAACACTTACAGAATCATACACTGTTGCAGATACCATTGAATGTATTCACCTCTGAAGCACAGCATTGTTCATTATCCTATAGAAACTGAACCAATAGTTTAAAAGAGAAAGTGGTGAGGAATGCATTATTCAAATGAAATTAGATGGGCAATTCAGGACAGCAGAATACAACTGTCTACTGTGAGATTTAGCAAGGCTAAAGTTAAAACTCTTATCCTTAGAGAAAAAAAAAACAACCAAGATTTAGATTCTTCTCTTATCCCTTATTTGAAAAGGTACGTGTCTAACAATATATATGGAATCTTGAATCCATTTACAGCCCGAGCTTTAGTTCAGTAATGATACCAGAAGAGAAGTCAGAAGTTCTACCAAAAGTAACTTTTGTCTGTCAACTATTTTCTTAGCAATCTAAAGATACAAAACAATTTTTATAAATTACAAATCACAGTGAAAAGTTTCATTCTCCAGCCAAGTGCAAGGAGTTTCAACAGTCAGTGGTCTGAAAGAATTTGAGAAGCTTACCATACTATTATTTCTCCTATGGGTACAAGTGCATTTCCTTTTTCTTCATGTACAACTTTTTGCCTTTTTTCTTTTCTGTCCATAGCATGAGGTCTCTCTTTAGTTTGCAAATGTTCTCACACACCCATGCAAAAATATATGCTTCTTTGAATAATAAATTACAGATTTTAGTGCATATCCTGACTTGTACTTCAAAAGGATAAAATCCACTGCTTATTTGTTTATTAAATAATTTGCAAAAGAAGGCGTATCTCAAAATTGGAGGTAATTTCACTGTCACTTGGAAAGTTAAGCCAACACCAGGCTATCTTTTATTTGTGTGTACGTCTTGAGAAGTGGATGTCTGTAATATTACTTGAAAACAAATGTTGCAGATAAATGGAATAGTACAGGGTATGTTGTGAAAATTTCTGTCTGCTGGTCAAAAAGTGTGCTTAGTAATTTAAAAGGACCTTTTTAATTTCTTTTTTTTCACTTCTGTTCTATCTTGGCTTTTCCAAAGCTATTATCCTCAGAGCTGTCACATTACATGAAGTGGGTAAATGTCCACAGAGTTTTGTAATCTCATTCTAGATATTAGTTTTATAATCCACCCAATACTCTTTAGATAAAGATGTCTTACAGTCATTATGACTTGGGCCAAAGTAGAATCGTAACCTTAAAAATCCTCAGCAAGCCAGGTCTTCTTTAGCTGGAAGAAATTGCAGGCATAGAGTTTATTCTTAAGTAAAGAGAAACAAAACCAAGTATTAAGATATATATTATATTAGAAATACAGTATGATGCACTGATTAAAAAGCATTGAATATTCAGAAAATATTAATTCAGGTGTTGAGTCTGGTCTGAATTTGTGTAAACTTAGAGAAGTCGGTTAACATCTTCAGACACTTTTCTCATTCTGTAGGACTGAAGGTGGAAAGCTCAAGGTGATCCAGAACTGCTTAGTTATTTTGATAGTGTGGTAGAAGATCTGTTCTATCTATTAAAAGCAATATTATTTGCAGAATTCTTACTGTGAGCAATAGTATTTAAAAAAAAACTAATATTTTACTTCATTTTACACCTTCCAAATTGTTGCTCTGCCTTCCCAGGTACATGTATACATGTCAGCATGTCAGCACACATACAGCACAGCGCAGCTGCACAGTGACAAAATCAATTTTCTAGGCTTTTCTAGATGAGTATTTTGATGACACATCTATTGCGGTAGCAGCAAAATAAACATGTCAGAAAAAAAATCACACTTGAAGGGGGTAAAAAAAAAAAGTAGGAAAGTGTTTGACCTGTTTAAGCTGCAATCAAACCCCATTCATTAGACTGTGTAAATAAATCATCCAACATCATGAAGCCTATGTAGTCAAAGTACTTTGGAAGAATAGCTTTTGGAAGAAAAATCCCACCTTTCACATCCTGCAGTATGAATGTCCTGTGGAGAGACAAAGGATTGCAGACCATAGGTTTGCCAATTCCTTATCTTTTCCGAATGTTAAATTAATATTTAAAGTTATTTATTCAAAGTTGACTTAACCACTAGATTAGGAAAGATCAGACAATCAGTTGAAAGAAATGAAGTATGAGGAAACCAGAACTCTTTGAAAAAGTATTCCTTGGAGTAAATGTGTTGAATGAAGCCAGCAAGTAAATGATAAGGGCCTTTGCGCTCTGGATATAAGAAAGCAATTTATCAAGAGTACATGAACTCTCCAGTGACCATAAGCCAAGAATAAACCAAAGTACAGGAGGACAAGTCCCTATAAAATCATTTCAAATGCTCAGAAACTTTTGTTTAAAATAGCAGTGAGAAGCTTAGGTGCTGCAACATAGTCCATAAAATGAAAAGAAAATTAAATTCAAACACTGATACTCAGTAAAGTGTGTGATGCCATATGCAATTCCATCATATTTAACATCACAAGGGGATAAGAATTACCTTCACCCTGCAAACCACCCCTCCTCTCATCTCTAAATTATTCATGTCACAATGAATAACATGAAATTTACACAGAAGGGTAAAACAAAATAGCCAGCTCAAGTAGCAGTAAATTCATGACAGAATTTATGGTAAACCAGGAGACTAATTTTTAACATGCTTAAAAGTGTGGAGTTTAGGGTGTATCTCTTTTCTTTTTTTCCTTAGACATTAAGTCTTAAACCTTTACCAGTCCAAATAATTCTACATAGCTTCAGTATTGTTCATCAGTTAATCATAAATTGTTGTCATTTCTGATGATCTTATGAGTATTGTAGTCTCTTGGGTTCACCTGAACACCTTTTTACTGTAGAAATTAGAGTTAACTGTGACCTTTGGAAACTAGAACTGTTTCAGACTGCGTCTGTGAAAAAGAATCACGCAGTGATATGTGGTTTCTCTCAGGGGTCCATACTGGGACCAGTACTGTTTAATATCTTTATCAATGACGTAGACATCAAGTGCAGCAAATGTGCATATAACACCAAGTTGAGTGGTGTGGTTGACATGCCTGAGAGATGGGATGCCATTCAGAGAGACCAAGAAGTGGGCCCATGTGAAGTTCATGAGGTTCAAAAAGGCCAAGTGCAATATCCTGCACCTGAGTCGGGGCAACCCTTGTTATCAGTGCAGGTTGGGGGATGAAGGGATTGAGAGCGGCCCTGTGGTGAAGGACTTGGAGGGACTGGTGCCTGAAAAGCTGAACATGAGCTGGCAGAGTGCATTTGCAGGCCAGAAAGCAAAACGTATCTTGGGCTGGACCAAAGGAAGTGTGGCCAGCAGGTCAAGGGAGGTAATTCTGCCCCTCTACTCTGCCCTGGTGAGATCCCACCTGGAATACTGAATCCAGTTATCCTTTCCTCAGCGCAGGAAAGACATGGACCTGTTGGAGCAGATCCTGAGGAGAGCTACAAAAGTGATCAGAGGGATGGAACACCTCTCCAATAAGGAAAGGCTGAGAAAGTTAAGGTTATTCAGCTTGGAGATGAGAAGCTCCATGAAGGCCTTACTGCAGCCTTTGAATACTTAGAGGGGGCCTATAAGAAAGATGGGAACAGACTTCAGTAGGGCCTGTTGCGGTAGGAAAAGCGGTAATGGTTTTAAATTAAAAGAGGGTAGATGGTGAAACACTGGAACAGGCTGCCTAGAGATGTTGTAGATAATCTGTCACTGGAAATATTCAAGGTCAAGTTGAATGGGGCTATGAGCAACCTCATCTAGTTGAAAATACCCCTGTTCATTGCAGGGGGAGTTGACTAGATGACTTTTAAAAGTCCCTTCCAAGTGAAACCATTCTGTGGTTCCTTATATGAATCCTACAGGTGATATTTCTCTGGAAAACAAATGCATCTGCAAATTTGATGTGTTTAGATAATTCTTTGGAATTAGTTTCTTGTCTTTCCTTTAGCTCTGCTCTTACATTTAACCTCTTTGCTTTCAGCCTTGGACAAGCTTAGTACTCAGCACCTCTACCACCCAACCCAAGTGGAGATTGTGCAGTCCAACGTTGTGTTTGACATCAGCAGCCTGATGCTCTACGGTACTCAGGCTGTGCCTGTAAGACTGAAGATACTACTTGACCGACTCTTCAGTGTACTGAAGCAAGAGGAGGTTTTGCATATTCTACATGGCTTAGGCTGGACACTTCGAGACTATGTTCGAGGCTACATCCTTCAGGTAGGAAAAAAAGCAAAGCATGTTTCCAGACCCAGTTAATGCAAATTTATTTTGTGTAAACATACTGACCATGCACCCAAAGAGGTAGAAGGATATGAAATAAACTTAGTGTGGCATGTGACAACTAATGATGGTGTTGACAACATAAAATATTAAATTTTTCCTAAGCTAAACAAAAATAAAACACCATAGTATTTATTTGTATTTGCTTATGGTTCTTGTAGGAAATAGCTTAAATACTGAAAATAATAAGGTTAGCTAGCTGCAAGACTGCTTTGGTCATCAAAAGCAACTAGCAAGTTTTCAAGAGCTACTGTTTGACTTAAGAAACGAAGATCCAAGCCAGCAGCTCCTTCATCTTCTCTTTCCTTTTTTTAGCAAGATGTCTAATAAGATGTAAATGAAATGGGGGTTGTGATCATGGTTGTATTGAGAAGTATCCTTACATTGTAATGTATAAATGGGAAAATCATGTTTATAAAGCCATTTTAAAAAGGTAGCTTTAAATAAAGTGTTACATGCAGATTGGTTAAGATAAGGTAAGCAAACAAAACATAAAGTAAGTAAAAAATGGACAGGCTTGCTTCATGAGTGTGCTCATGAATATCTATGGTTGCTTATCTGAAGTATTTCATAATCTGTTGGGTTCTAAAGTGAATTATTACATTGTATAAGACTATTTCTGATTCGGAATCTAATACTACATGCTTATGAATTTTCCTAATTGCTGCTGACTTTTCAGGAGCTCTGCATTATATAGAAGTCATACAGTTATTGAAGCAGATACACCTGAAAAGCTTTGAAAATTCTAGTTTCTGATTTATTTCTTTACTTTCTTAGGGATGATAGCATTCTTGGCATATGGGAATCCTTATCCCTGCTCTGTGGAATCCTGACTGTATTTTTAAATTCCTCTTTGATTTTCTGTCCTTTGTGTGAAAGTAAATTATCCTTATGTAATTCTATGGAAACCTTCATATGCTGTGTTCTTATATTTTCTTAAATGCTCTGTACATAGGTTTTCACAGAAAAGTATACTGAATTGTAGAAGAGTCCTAGAGAAAGAGTAATAAAAAGGCTATTACTTTAATAATGAGAACCTGTTATAGGGATATCTAAAGAATGGATCTCTTTAATTGTTTCAGCATTGTCAAGCATTTATTTTGTTAAAGCTAAATGTTTCATAAGTTCAAATACAGTAGAATTCATTTTGCATTAGCAGTCTAAAACTTACAGTCAAGTATTTCTATGATATTTATAAAATAGATATCTATAGATGTTTGTACAATACCTATGTGTGGATCTGTATTTACAGATATTAGATATTAGATATACTTTAGATAGATACATAATAGATATCTGTAGAGATACTTACTGTAATGGAAATTTGTGCATGTTGCGTCATATTTTAGATTCTGGATTTTGAATGCTACTGATCAGGAAGGCTGAAGAAATATGATTTGCAAAGGAATACACGTAAAAAAAAAAAATGCATCCTTTCCAAGACATAACATTAGAAACTTGAGATTTACTAAATACAATTTATAGTTAGTCGTAATATACTGCAAGTTTAGAATATAAATACAGTGGTTTAGAATATAATTCAATGTTCCTTACAGACAAGACTGATTGAAATCAGTAGTTTTCTTGTTTTAAAAGTCATAGAATCAGGTTCATATTGATATTTTTTTTTTTAATTATCTATTGGAATGATCTTAATATATACAAGAATAGCTTGTAATATAATTACATAGAGGTTTATATAGAGTGAGATTGTGACCTACGCGTCTGAGTGGTGTAAAGGCCTATAATACACTAGTAGGTCAGAGTTCAGTTTATCTAAAACTCAATCACATTGTAGCCCTCAAGGCATTAATTTTACCATTGCTACATTCAACAACAGTATATTGAATATTATGTCAGTTAAAGGAGAACAATTATCAATATAAGGGCAGGCTTTACAGCCTTGCCACATATTGACTTGGTTAGCACTTGGCTGTGGATTGTGTTAGTAGGTGGATGAAGACTTACGATATGTGTAGTTGAACCTGGCTGTTAGTTTAGCTCTCCAATTTTAAAGAATCACAGACTGGTCAAGTTTGGAAGGGAGGTCATCTTATTCAACTCCCCTGCTCAGGCAGGGACACCTAGACCTAATTGCCCAGACCATGTTCAGTCAGCTTTTGAATAGCTCCAAGGATGGAGATTCCAGAAACTCTCTGGGCAAAAGATGCATTTTGTTTCCATTAAAGCTAGGAAGCTCAGAAAGGGAAACTGCTTAGTAAAATACACATGAAATCTTAGGAAAATTAATCAAATCTATGATAACAAAAAAGTCTTTTTTAAAAAGTAACTCTATTGCAACTATCTGATAAAAAGGAGAAAAGGGGCATAAAGGGAAATTTGAAAAGAAATTTGTGGTAGCATTAGCATAATAAAAGTGCATACAGATGAGAACTATGGGTAGTGTCTCCTTTGAGCAAAAGTTGTTGTTTGATGATGCTCATCATAGAATTAGAACTCTTCACAGACTTGGTGTTTTCAAACTCAGCTTTTCCATACAAAAAGTTTCCAGTTAAATGTCATGAGTGTTTTATATAAGAAACAAAAGTATCAAGAACTAAAAGAAATTGCCCAGAATATTGCAGAGCTCTGGGATCATTGGTAGGCAGTCACACCGTGAATTCAGGAAGATCAGACTCTCAGTCTGGAAGTACAGTTCTTTTTAACTGATCTGTGCAAACCTGTCTAAGTTATAACCTAGTCCAGTCAATGCTAGAGAGTTTACCATGCATTAATACATATAGTATATAAGATACAGTATATAATATACACACATATATATATCTAGGAAAATGTTTAAATTTGCTATAATGCTGCAGTTAGAGAAATGTAAACAATAAACTAGCTTGTTTGTCTCTAATAAAATTAATGTTTTAAACTTGTAACTTGATCACAGAACTATGGAATAATAGAACGCTTATGGTTGGAAAGGACCTTAAAGATCTAGTTCTAACGCCCCTGCAATGGGCAGGGACACCTTCTACTAAACCAGGTTGCTCAAAGCCCCTGGCATTGAAGACCTCCAGGGTTGTGGCAGTACCCCCCTTAGGTACTGGAAGCTGCTATAAGGTCTCCCCTGAGCCTTCGCTTCTCCAGGCTGAACAATGCTAACTCTCTCAACCTCTCTTCATAGGAGAGATGCTCCCATCCCCTGATCGTCTTCATAGCCCTCCTTTGGACTTGCTTGAGCAGGTCCACATTCCTCTTGTGTTGAGGCTCCAGAGCTGATAGCACTGCAGATATTTATGAGAGCAGAGTGTGTGTGTGGGGAATTTTAGGGTAGATACATCCACTCAATATTGATTATTTTAGTATTGGCTGGAATTTTCTTTTCTCTTCAAGATGCATAATGAAACCCTTTTTCCCACAAAATAACTTTATCTCAGTAATTTTTGAGAAAAACCTCTGCGCCACTCGAGAAACAAGAGAAAACCAGTGGCTCTGTCTAGTTGTGTATTAGTGCTTCAATGTGGATGGGCTTGTTTGTAGCACCCTCCTTTTGATTAATAATGTTTCTACATAGCAGATTAAATAGCAGTGGGCAGAGAAAAATGCAGTATTTGTTGCTTTATTCAGTGAATACATTTCATGGAGCATATGAAGCAAAGGAGCCCGAAATCAGTGGAGGTAAAGTGACAAAATACCTTTCATATTTGGGCACAGTCACAACATTGCCAGTAATGGCTGAAAGGCATTAAGACCTGGCAAGCTTTATCTAGCGTCTTTGCAATAAATCTAATTTCTGGTGAATAAGTACTTATTTCTGAAATGTGAGTGAGTGACAATTTGGTCATCAGCCTTATCAAATTGCTCACAGGATTAATGTTTTAGAGGAGGAATTGTCCTCTCATCTGTAGAAGAGATCCTCAGAATAGCTTTACTGCATAGAGAAACTTCCTGGACAGTGTTTCCCTTATGGACGTCCAGAGCACTTCAGTTTATCTGGTTTATCTGTACCTATCTCAAGGAACTAAGTTAATGTTTTTCTGTGGAGCTGTTGTTGAGCCTGTAGGTTTTCTTTATGGGAACAGCCAATGTAACAGCTGTCTTTGCATGGCAAGGTATTATTCTGTCAACAACAGTAGCTGGTGTGGGTTAGATTCTGCACCTGCTACTCAAAGAGATGTATTAGTGGCTCTATTGATTTGTGTGAAGTTACTTCTGCTGTAAAGAACAGCTTAACTGTAAGTAAGTCTCCAGTGCTGGTTAGATTCCAGGTAAGCAGAGTGAAGAGGTAACTTTGCCAGCTGTTCTCGTTTGCTCTGCCGCTGAAGAATACCACACCCATTTGCAAGTTCAACTACATGTGTAATTTCTCCCTAGCCAAGCTGTCTCTAAACAAGCCAGGTTAGAAAAATCCTCCTGTTAAACATGCTAAACTGATTAATCTGAGAGGAAAGGGTTAGAAAGCAATTATACCATGAGCAGTCAACAGCTGAAGCATTCAGCTTTTACACTGGTCCAGCTGCAGAAGACATAAGTGACCACAACTTAGAGGCCATAAACTGACTCTTTGCAAATAATAATTCAATGTTTTGAGTAACAGCTTTACACTTTTTCAGCTGTTTTGTGATCAAATAGTTGTATTGCCTTAGTGTAAAAGCGGATTGGGTCAAGAGATTTGGGGAGAGACCAAAGAGGTAAATTTGAGCGTCTTTAATGATACCATTCTTAATTTCTTTTCTGTTCTTTCTCTGAGTAATCCCTTAGCACCTCATCCTCTCTAAGCAGGTGAAATATTAGCCATATGCACAGATAGAAATTACTTTATTGTTCTTAAATATTGCCCAACATTGGCCTGTCTGTGGAGTATTTCAGAAAAGCATGGGTTCTGTTGCTATCTGACCTCTTTTAGAGACTTTAGAGTCTTACCTTTCCCGTCTGTATTCATTTGCCTCTTTTTAAGGTCTTTAAACTTTTACTACGGAGCCCAAGTG